GAAGAATAGTGAGTAAATTCCTAGTTTGAGATATTTTTGAAAGAATTATGCGATTTTCTTTCATGTCTAGTACTTCTGAAGACTATTTACATATTTTCAAGACCCAAATCAACCCCCCAAAAGAGCTTCTCCCTTCAATTATATTTTTTATGTTTGACAATGTGTGATATATTAATGATAGTGTGTTATTAAGGTGTCAATAAGGTTGATGATGGCTAGTTAAGTTGTCAGTATGTCGAGATGGACGGTCCGTAAAGGTGTCACCCTGCCAGACGGATATATAAACTGTCTTATTTTCCACCTGTCAATTATAGTTTATGATTAAAAACTGCACGAAATGATAGAAGACCTAAAGGTCTATATTTTTGAGAAAGTAATAAATTAAACTTTCACCTATTCTTACATTTTTCTTTTCCAATCTTAATGAAATAAAATGTAGGACTTCAGAGTTGAATATTCTATTATTTGTGCAACCCAAGTAGAACTGTCGAAGATTTGAGTAAGATGTAAAAGCCGTATCTTTTAAATATCAAGTCTATCTTTACATCATATTTCAATTGAATTTTGGCCTGAAGGAATTAAAATCGTATCACAGCGTTGATTGTGAGAGAAAGACAAGTCTCAATTTCTATACCTCATGTCTTTCTTCCATGGTCCAAATTTGAATTAGGTGTGCGATGTGCTGACACACTAACAATGTAAGAATGGCCTGCCACAATAGCAGTGTAAGAATGGCCTGTCACACTAACAGTGTAAGAATGGTCTGCCACACTAACAGTGTAAGAATGACTTGCCACACTAGCAGTGTAAGAATGGCCTGCCACACTAGCAGTGTAAGAATGGCCTGACACACTAACAGTGTAAGAATGGCCTGCCACACTAGCAGTGTAAGAGTGTCCTTCCACACTAGCAGTGAAAGAATGGCCTGCCAGACTAGAAATGTAAGAATGTCCTGCCATACTAGCAGTGTAAGAATGACCTACCATAGTGTAAGAATGGCTAGCCACACTAACAGTGTAAGAATGGCCTGCCACACTAGTAGTGTAAGAATGTCCTGCCACACTAGCACTGTAAGAATGGCCTGCCAGCAACACTAGCAATCTAAGAATGGCCTGCCGCATTAACTGTGTATGAGTGTCCTGCCGTACTTACAGTGTAAGAATGGTCTGCCATGGTGTAAGAATGGCCACCAGCAATGTAGTATTGCATCAGCCACACCAGCAATGTAGTATTGATTGAAGGTATACCAACCAGTATTTACAATATCCACATGGCTTTTCATTGATCTGACAAGTTATACCTCTTTACTAGCTGTTGTGTATTGGTATGCTTTAGCTCAGTATTCAAAGAAAAAATGGTCGCTAAAATTCTTACAAGTCAAGTTTTGTTTCAATAATGCAAACCCTTAAAGTGATACCACGTCTTAGAATGAACATAAAATTTAATTCTCAAGGTAATTCTCAAGAATGGTCAATATGAGTATATATTCATCAGTGAACATACCTGGTGTCATAAAGTTACAACAGAATCCCTGTAAAATCTGGAAAAATTCATAAAACTAAGTAATTATTGAAAATCACTGTTATTTATGACACCAGGTATATCTACTGATGAATACATGCTCTTATTGGCCAAGTTTAACATTTTTAAATTCTATGTTTATTCTAAGGAGTAGAGTAACTTTCATAAAGATTTGAAAGGTAAGGCTGATATATAGGAAGGTGTATGAGGCAATATAGAGCTTGAATAGCCTTATTATGGTCTGGAGCATGAATTCAGTTTTCTACTATTATAGGTTACTATATAAAGACTCAAGTTTTAATCAATAATTAACCCTTATTT